GTGGGCTGGCTAGCTAGCTAGCTGTGAGCTAGCTAGCTAGCTAGCTAGCAACCGCTTTCAGTGCCGAAATACCTCAGCAAGATGTTTGAATTGCAAGCAAAGACAAAGTGGATTTGTTTATATTTTTGTTTTTTTTTATTATGTAGATAAATAAACAAAAAAGAAATAAATAAAGAAAACGAAAAGAAAGAAAAAAAAACAGCAAGGACGCAAACAAACAGTGAAACAAAACCCAAGTAATAAAGAGGAATACATATATATCCATATATCTACTTTACAGCTCAGGGTTTAGGGTTTAGGGTTTAGGGTTTAGAGATGAGGGTTTATAATTGGTGGTTTAGGGTTTAGGGTTTAGGGCTTGTGATTAGAGGTTGAGGGTTTGTGGTGTAGTGTTTAGGGTTTAGGGTTTAGGGTTTATAGTTCAGCGTTTAGGGTTTAGGGTTTATGGTTTAGGGTTTAGGGTTTAGGGTTTACAATTTAGGGTTTAGGGTTTGTTGCAGTTCCCGGGGCCCCCGAGCTGCTGCTGCAGCTCGGGGCCCCCAGGAGTGTGGGCAACGAGAGGGTATTGTGAGTGGGCCCTTCTACGCTGCTGCTGCTGCTGCTGCTGTTGCTGCTGCTGGTGCTGCTGCTGCTGCTACGGCTGTCGTTGCTGCGGCTTTTGCGTGTGTCTGTGGTGTTTCAGCATTTATTTTGCTGCAATTTAAATTTATTTTATTTTAAATATTTTTTTGATGCAAAAATTTATTATTTAAGGAAAACTGAGCTGCCTGTACACCCCATCACGGGGATGCGGTGCAGGTGACCCCGGTGCGGTGTATCGGCACCTTTTTGCGTTTAAAAACGAATCATAGAAATATAAAAAAATAAAAATAAAAAATAAAATAAATTTAAATAAAATAAAAAATAAAATTTCATTTAAATTGATATATGTTAAGCAGCCAGCTTTTGCTGCTACCGAGACCATTGGTTCTGCTGCTGCTGCTGCTGCTGCAGCAGCAGAAAATAATATGAGGATATTACGAAATTAATAAATAAAATTTAAACTTTTTTATAATTTATTTTTATTATTAAAAAAAAATATAATTAAAATTTCGCTTTGGGCCGCATTGGGATGCACATACACCCCGTTTGCTGCAGCTCGCTCCAGGGCTAGCAGCAGCAGCCACAGCAGCAGCAGCAGCAACAGCAGCAACAGCAGCAACAGCAGCAGCAGCAGCAGCAAGTGCAGCAGCAG